GGCTCGATCTTTTACATCTGTTGACCTGTGTTTGCGATAGACACTGCACACATAGATTTTGTGTTGTGTGTTCAAGTGTGTATATGCATCTCCCTGGCCCTGCCTGCAAGCATGCTGCAAGTGATGTGACTGACCAATCAGAAAGTTTCCCCCGAGTTGGCGGAGAGTCAAACCAGCATAAATTAAAGTTCAGTGATTGCTGGCACAGTAGAACAGATGATTCATAAATTATGAAGTTTGTTGACCTAGCTGACATAATGTTTATGAGAGTATGTCTGTGAAAATTTGCTATGCTTGAGGTGGAGGCTGAGCTGAGATGAAGTCGGCAGAGAGTTAAATTAAAGAGTAATTTCATTACCAAAATACTTCCTGACAAGCGGATTTAATTAGCAAACAATACTTAAGCTAATTTGTTCTCTGAAGATAATTATTGGGGTCCATCCTCAGACTACATCCTCTCTCTTATTCCCCTGTTTCTCTCTGCCTTAATTTTTAACCAAAATTGAACAAAATGTTTTAGCCCAGATTAGAAGAAAATTAAACAAGTTTGGAGTTTAAATCTCCAGTGGTTCTTGAGATATCATGATAACAATCTCAATGTATGGAATTTCATAAGTTGACCTCTGTGACCCTTGACCTTTGACCTACGTGCTCCAAAATCTAATCAGATTGTCTTCCTATGGTGAAACACACTATCATTAAGTTTGAAGTTTAAATCTCCAGTGGTTCTTGAGATATTATGATATGGTGATACATACTATCATTAAGTTTGAAGTGAAAATTCTCCAGTGGTTCTTGAGATATCGCGATAACGATCTCAATGTATGGAATGTCATAAGTTGACCTCTGTGACCCTTGACCTTTGACCTACGTGCTCCAAAATCTAATCAGATTGTCTTCCTATGGTGATACACACTATCATTAAGTTTGAAGTTTAAATCTCCAGTGGTTCTTGAGATATTATGATAACAATCTCAATGTATGGAATTTCATAAGTTGACCTCTGTGACCTGTGACCTTTGACCTACGTGCTCCAAAATCTAATCAGATCGTCTTCCTATGGTGATACATACTATCCTTAAGTTTGAAGTTTTTACATCTCCAGTGGTTCTTGAGATATCATGATAACAATCTCAATGTATGGAATTTCATAAGTTGACCTCTGTGACCCTTGACCTTTGACCTACGTGCTCCAAAATCTAATCAGATTGTCTTCCTATGGTGAAACACACTATCATTAAGTTTGAAGTTTAAATCTCCAGTGGTTCTTGAGATATCATGATAACAATCTCAATGTATGGAATTTCATAAGTTGACCTCTGTGACCCTTGACCTTTGACATACGTGCTCCAAAATCTAATCAGATCGTCTTCCTATGGTGATACATACTATCCTTAAGTTTGAAGTTTAAATCTCAAATGGTTCTTGAGATATCGCGCTAACAAACTCAATACAAGGAATTTCATAAGTTGACCTCTGTGACCTGTGACCTTTGACCTACGTACTCCAAAATCTAATCAGATCGTCTTCCTATGGTGATAAATACTATTCCCGAGTCTTAAGTTTAAATCTTAAATGGTTCTTGAGATATTGTGATAACGGTCAAACGGGACGGACGTACGGACGGACAACCCGAAAACATGATGCCTCCAGCACCACCTTCGGTGGCGGAGGCATAAAAAGTGTGACATGTTGATAGTCTTTAGAGATGAGAAGGAAAAAGAAGTTATCTTCATCATCGTTCTTCCTTCCATCTCTACCTTTTTTCAATTCTATTTACTCATCTTCCAAATGTGTTTTAAACCTCCCCCCCCCCCCCCCCTCAAATCAATTTGATCTTCTTTCTCTAAAAAAAATAAAAGTACAGAATTATTTACGTAATGTAGTTTTTCTCATGTTTTCTTTTCTTTCTTAAGTTTCTTTCATTGTGTCTCTCCATCCCCCCAAAAATTCATTCACATCCGATATATCTCTTTCACTATCATGTGGCAGAAATTTAGAATACAAAAACATTCCCTATCAAAGATTAATGCATGCCAGACAGCTTGGACCCAGCTGGGTGTAACATTACACCGCGGTTCCTTTGAACAGGGTTCCAAGGTTCAAAGGTTCAACATGCAGCCTTTGTCCGGCAAGCGCACTTTCCAAAAAATATGCAAATATCGGTTAAGCATGGCATGTGCCTTACATGTGATCATTGTTTTTAATTGGCAGACGAACAGACCAATCATAGTAGAGCATGTTGTTTGTGCACTCTGACAGGGAAATGAGCTATTTTTAGGATTCCTACATACATGTAGCTAGCCATATAAATGCTTCATCTTTTTAGGGAGTGGATTAAGGGTGATAATTTATGCTGACCTGGGACTTATGTCTGGACTCAGACAGCATGATAAACAAAATGAAGTGATGTGCCCTCTATTCAGGACAAGGTCATTAGGTCACACAAGATGTGTTTGTAGTAGCTCTCAAATAGAATCTAGTCAATATTATTTCAGTCCAACTCTCACCGGGTTACCGGACCTTTCCGGGTCCCGTTAAGAAATTTGGAAAATTGCCGGGTCGGGCCGGGTCCGGGTTTTGGGTTCCGAGCTACAGCACTACCTACAATACTCCTACCATGATGTGCGGTGTAATCCGGAATCGCGTTTTCGACCTGCGCTAGCGGCAGCTAGCTCCTTAAGTATAGTAACGGCCTGTCCCTTCTTTTAGTTTTTGGCAATGCAATGCCAATGGTACGGACTTAGATCTAGATCTATCGGCAGATTTTAATAGACAAATAAGGCCAAATAAAAAAAAAAATGTGTTTAGCGTCCTGTTTTTTGGAAAAATAGGAAGGAGGAGGCCCTTTTTTTTTTTTTTTTTTCTTTCAAAATGGCCGCTCGGTACATTTTCCCTGACAGTCGGGTTATTTTTCAAGATGGCCGCCGACAATTTTTTTTTTTTTTTTTTTAATCAGAAATAGATCCATTTTAGCAGTGTTTTTCATGTTTTTTTTCTTTAAAAAAAAAAAAATCAAAAAAAAAAAATTCAAAAAATTTTCAAAAAAATAAAATAAAAATAGGAGGCGGCCCCCAAAAAGGAAGCGGGCGGGGACGCTAAACATGTATATTTTTTTAAGTGGCCTAAGTTATGCTTTTTTTTATGCAACTTAAAATTCTGGGCAAGTTGTGTGGAGTTATTCTAGAATTGTCCTGTACCATTGTCTAGTCATCCTAGTCCCATATGATCAAATGGACGTGCTGTTTTGACCGCTGAATTTTTTTGTTGTAGCGTTAAGTCCGCACCCCAACTTTTTGATAGTTTTTCTTTCAAAAACATTGCGGCCTTATCCCCGGCAAATACAGTAAACATTTTAGTCAGATAATATGGATGGGTAACAATGCCTGGAGGGATGACAGAATTCAGTAATCAACTGGTTACTAGTCAATATTTACATATGAACGATAATACTTCTTGCATGAACAAAAGCACTTATGATATCAGCTGCTTTAATACATACATGTACACCTCCTTGAAAAAAAGTTCAAGTGCATTTGGTAGCAGGTGCAAATTATTTTATGGCAGAAATTCCGCATCTGACAAGATTTGATTGATGGATTTAATGGTATATGAAATTAATATTGAATCAGAGGTACACACTTGACTCCTTAAAAAGCCAATATTGTGGAGGACAGAGTACACTACATTGCTGTGGTATAACACATGCCCATTATAGAAGTGAAATAAAGAAAGAAAGCCCTCTTTAATGCTGTGACATGAAAAGGCTCAGTGTCAAATGTACATGTATAGTGTCACCTGCCATTATGTTGTTGTTTCAGTTTGAAAATGTCACACACATACACAAAGCAGTTCCTCTTTCTACTGATCTAACCTCCTTTTTCTAGAGCTTTTTCTATCATTCATTTTCCAATTTTGTATCTTTCTTTATTTTTGCCTTTTACTATTTTCCTCCATTTTTTCCTCTCTTTTATTTTGTCCCCCAAAAAATCTATAATTTCTTAGCTACATATTTTGTTCTATTTATTGATTTTCTAAGCATACTGTGTTCATGTTATATCATAAAACAGCATCTGATGAACTAACACTTCAAAAAGCTCTGCTTCTAGTTAGTTCCTCGTTTCTCATACTTTTTCTATTATTACCTGTTGTTTCATCGCATACTTTTGTAATATAGTTATTAATTGTATTATGTTTTGCTTGAAAAATAAAATCATTTGAATTATATGTAAAAGTATGATTTAGCACCCTTCTGGCTCTCAACAGACAAATCGAGGTGTATGCATTTTACAGTGTTACATACAATCCAACTCCAGCAAGGAAAGAGCATGAAATAAAAACTTACGCTTCACATAATTCCATCCTGTGTCAATATTACCATCAATGTGTGTGCATGGTATAATGTGAATAAGTGAATAAGTTTGTGTTCTACGAGAACTCATCAAGACTGTATCCTGTCATTCTACCATCGCTTGAAATGTTTCAGAGGTTTCTCTTGACCACCTGTTATCCCAATTTTCGGTTTAGTGTGAATGGTTTTGGTTGTGAATGACTTGGTTGTTATTACTGTATAGGGTAATCAGTGAGTGATGTAATGTGAACTTACACTCATCAGGACTGTCTCCTGCCCCTCTACCATGGCTTGAAAAGCTTGTGAGGTTTCTATTGGCCACCTTCCACCGGTGTTTTGTTTTTTGTATGAATATGATTAAAGTATTCATTTTCATGAAAGCCAACAGGGTAATGAGAGTGTATGTTCCAATATAAACAAAGTAATCACTGAGTGGTTTAAATGTGAACTTACGCTCGTCAAGACTGCCTCCTGCCCCTCTACCATGGCTTGAAAGGCTTCTGAGGCTTCTCTTGGCCACCTTCCACCGGTGTTTTGTTTTTTTCACGAATATGATTAAAGCATTTTGTTGTCAAAAGCCAACAGGTTAATAGGAGTGTATGGTTAAAAATAAACAAAGTAATCACTTAGTGATGTAATGCGAACTTACGCTCATCAGGACTGCCTCCTGCCCCTCTACCATGGCTTGAAAGGCTTCAGAAGCTTCTCTAGGCCACCTTCCATCCTACAAAAAACATGGTAAAACAAAGTATCAGTATCAGCTGGAATGTCAATTTAAACTTTATAGGAAAGAAACTGGTCGAAGAAATATATATTTTAACAAAAGTTGAAATTTACATTACCTGTTGTAAGTTAGGACAAGCCATAATGTTTGTCCTACCTGGCAACAACTAACGTATGTAGTTCGCATTCTGACTATTGAAATACAATTATTCGTAACAGATGAATGAAATGATTTACATCGAAGCACCTCACAAAGAATTATACATCAGACTTGGCCATATTGCGAAAATGGTCTATTTTGAGACATCTGTTATACCCTCTTTACACAAGTGGCAGTGCATAATTATGTTGATACATGATTATTTTACAAGGTGCAGAAGATGAAAAAATTAAAGGAATGGAAGGTTGAGAATATTGGTATTTAAAAAAACGGAGTACCTAAAGAAAAATGAGGTCAAATATTTTTAGAGGTGTATTTTTGTTGCTAATCCATCAGCAATCTAGTAATAAATTCAAGACAAGAAATTCTACCTTCTGTGTTGACACAATGTCGACCAATGAACAGCAGATAGCGATGTCTGGTTCACGCTCATACTTGGGACGGATCTTGCATAATCTACAAAGAGAGAGAGAGAAGAAGAGGTATGCTGAATGAGGAGAGAGCCATGAAAACGCATTTGGAGAAGAATCAATGACAAAACGATAGTAAAATACACATCCGTATAATATATCTCATATAAATGAAAGAGGATAGAATGAACAGAGGAGAGTATCCAAAGACAGGGTACTTGAGGTACCGGACTTCTACCCTGAAATACTTTTCATTATTCGTCTCTGCCTCTGGATCCAAATAGTTATCAGGGTTCCCACAGAAATTAGAGAACAAATATTCTAGGACTTTCCATGACTTTCCATGACCCATTTTTGCCAGATTCCACGATCAAATAAGTTTTATTTTGGTATCGGTTGCACTATCCGAGCGGTGTAGGAATGCCACGTCCATTGCCATTTCAAATTGGAAGACTACCGTAGCCACACACAGACCACACCCACGATCAATTTCCATGACTTTCCATGATTTTCCAGAAGAACTTAGTTTTCCATGACTTTCCAGGTCTTTCCATGATGATGGAAAAACTGGTTGGTCAACGACCCCCCCCCCCCTCCTCTATTAGGTATCAAAAATGCACACAAGTATCATTTTCAAACATCTAGGGAAACTCGCAAATTCTTATTCCATACTTGTGCCAAATAATTGTAATCCTCTAGTAATCCCATATTTTTTGTTACTTTATTACATATAAGTACATGCCACTCTAACTTGCTGACAACATCAAGATGAAGGCCTATGATACTGAAAGCTATACACAAACTCAAAGGCCTAAATTCACAAAGGAGGTTTGTACAAACCTTGGTTTGAAACGTGTCAAAACGCATCATATGACGCACATAAACCTCCTTTTTGAATTCGGGCCATAAGAATTTCTTGCTTTAGAATCCACCTGAATCAAAGTCATATGTGAATGACCCCTTACCTGGATATCGGCACCCATTCTGTATTGCCATAATCGATGTAGCCGACCTCTACCTTGGGCTCTTTCTCCTCATCTCCCTTGTCATCAGGGTCGAGAGTCCCCTGTCCTCCGTTCTGAAGGGATTCTGGGATGGTCTTGATGATTGCACGGTACCATTGGCTATCTGCAGAGAACTTACAGCAGCAGCGGAGCCCTGAGAAACAACAAAATGGTGTCATCAGATTAAACTACAAACTCAGAAACATTCCTTTTGATTGGGATATTTGTAGGTAAAAACAAAATTTAAGATGTCTCCTGTCCTCCATTCTGAAGGGACTCTGGAAGGGTCTTGATGATTGCACGGTACCATTGGCTGTCTGCAGAGAACTTACAGCAGCAACGGAGCCCTGGAAAAAACACAAAATGGTGTCATCCGATTAAACGACAAACTCAGAAACATTCCTATTTACTGGGATATCTGTAGGTAATGAAAAGTCTAAGAAAAATATGGAAGAAGTTATCTGTCCTCCATTCTGAACAGAGTCAGGGATGGCCTTGATGATTGCACGGTACCATTGGGTGTCCACAGAGAACTTACAGCAGCAACTGAGCCCTGGAAAAAACACAAAATGGTGTCATCCGATTAAACGACAAACTCAGAAACATTCCTTTTTACTGGGATATTTGTGGGTAACATAAAATCTAAGATAAACATAGAAGATGTCTCCTGTCCTCCATTCTGAAGAGAGTCTGGGATTAGTTGTCTACATCGATGCTTCTTTCTGAACTCAACGTCTAATTCTTACCCAAATCATGATAAGAGGCTTACCGACAACTAGTGGGTCTGGCATCCTTTTCTTCTTGTCCTCGCTTTCACACAGCTTGTACAGCACCTTCATCATCCTGTCCAATCGAGGGCGGTCTGCTTTCCGTTGGATGTAGAAGCGGGCCGGTGATCTAATGTGGACCACATGGACCAGATTTTGAGAAGCTACTAAGGAGTGAAAAGAGACATCACTGTATTCATCTAGTATATTTTACATAGAAGTCATATCATTTATTATCGATGAAAGGGCCAAGAGATGGCATCAGAATCTACCAGAAAGGAGTAAAAGAGACATCATTGCTTTCATCTAGTGTATATGTTACATAGAAGTCAAAGCACTCATTAACAATGAAAGAGCCAAGCGATGGCATCAGAATCTACCCCTCCCCTAAAGCAGTTCTAGAAGGAGGCTAGAAGGAGAAGGGGGAGCAAGAGCCTCCTCCCCTCCCCTTTCAACAAAAAAAAGAGTGTTAGGCACATGCAGAACCCACAAGCCCCCTAAAACCCCCATCCCCCCTCCATAATCGTCTTTCCAGCAATTTCATATCGCTAAGCTACCTAAATTGGCGGGTCACCTCTGGAATTTGCGACTCACCTGATGAACAAGAAGCGATAATCTTTGATGCAGCCTGTGACGATGCTTTCCTGGGAGCTGCAGGTTGGTGCTGCTGCTGTTGTTGGCCCCGTTTCTTGGCTGGTGCGGACTGCTGTTGAGCCTGAGCTGCGGTTCCGTTCTGAGATGAGACATGGTTCTTGGGGTTGGGAGTCTTCTTTTGGTCTCCCCTACCCTTACCACTTGGACCTGCAAAAGAGAGAAGAGAGAAATAGATTTGTGTCATCCCTGTATTTAAAATTGTGTCACCATACTATTAAAAACTAAATTTTTCATTCATATGATTTTGGTTCAAACATTGCTTAATAGTCCATTTTTACTGCTGCATGCCAAAATTTCTCTAGGCTTTTTTTTTTGTAACATGGAATATGCCACTAAATACTGGTCTTTTTAAAATAGTTCCCAGTTGTCATAAATACAAATGAAAAATGCAATATGGCTTTGTCATGGATTTTACTTCAGTTCTGCTCTGTTAAGTATGTTGTCTATTTTAATGAAATTTTGTCCATGATATATATTGATATAATATTTTAATGCTCTGCAAACAGGTGCTGAAATAGTATGTAAAGGTAGAATATCCGAGTCAAGACATTCAAAATGGACAAGTACTTACTTTTTAATTCACTCTTGCCAGCAGCGGTGACTGAGAAAAGCTTTGAGTTGCTAAGAATTGTATCTGCAATTTTGGGTTGCACATAATTGTCAGGTAGATCATCCTGCGTCTTCAGGTCCCAGCTAATGGTTACAAGAGGAATAGAATTTAAAGTTAAGGTTGGAATTCATGACAAAAATTTTAAGATGAAATAAAATGTTACAATCAACCAGATTATTCTAATTTGTGAATACATATAAAGCATGGTTAAATTTGTACCCAAAAAAAGGCGTACTCAAAAATTAGATTATAACCTATGATAGTTTAAAGGGGTGTAGCCTGGCAAATACTGGTCAACGCCATCTACATGTACAACTTCTTTAGGACAACTGCAAGTAAACGAATGGACTTGATAAATGGTCAGTGCGCGCTAGCTTTCGCGAAACAAACCAAAGGTCTCCTCACGCTTCGGTTTCGCTTATGTTGCACGCACGTGAATACTGCGGTCGCGTCATCCGTAGTCGTATTAAACCTGATTGGCCCCTAGTCACGCCATGGGAAAGACACCTAGTCTCATCATGCTACACCCCCTTTAATGCTCAAAGTTAATGCATCACAACAGTAACAAGACTGAAATTTATCATTCCTGAAAGATTCTTGCCACAAAGACAGCCGTCCTTAATTAAAGAGTGCCTCTAAGAGAGAGCATCTAATATACCTACCTCAATCTGCCGGAACTATCGACTGACCCATGTGTCATGACGTGTTGAATGATCTCATCGTCAGACTGGAATGCGATTGGTTCATCCTGGACGCCATCTTGGATCACATAACATGGCAGCTCCGAGGCTGAGTTGAGTATACTGATCATCTCCGTCATGTTGGGGGTTGCATTCGACGTCCCCTTCAGCGACTGTGCTACGTCTAATCACACAAGGAAATATAGTGTTGTCAACAAAGGCTTAAATAGCTACTCGATACAAAAACGACAACTGTATATATGAAAGAGACATGCTATAAGTTCATAGGAAATGTTGATGAAGTACTGTCAAAAGCTTATTTTGTGTTGTTGCAATTTAAACCATCGAATCATAGCAAATCGACCCAATCTTGCTGAAATAACATACTGTCAAAAGCACTGCAGAAAAATTGGTACATGGGACTACGCAAACATATGACACTTGATATGAGAAGGAATTAGAGCCATTCTTTTCCATGTGACAATGTTAATTATTTTCTTCCAGACAAAAATGTTTAAAAAACGAAAAACCTCACAAATAATAGTCCCCATTATCCAAATGCAACCTTCTCTTCGAGCCGTTGCTGACAGGGAACAGGGTGAAACAGGCACCAAGTCTAGTGGAATTGAGAGGACTAGGAAGTCGATGGGTTAACATCTTGAACACAAAACAAGAAACTAGATGGAACTTCGACTGCGCGTATTCGAAAGTGATGCCTCCGTCATAGAGCGATTTTAGAAACCAAAACGGAAGAAATTTTTCAAATTCTAGTTCAGTTGAAATCCATTAAAAGGTTCTCAGAATATCGTGATTACAAGCTATTTCTCATATACATGTATGACCCTTTGATCTTTGACCTCATGACCCCACATGCAAGATACATACATGTCTTGAGTTTGATGGTAATCCATCAATCGGTTCTAATGATAATGCAATCACAAGCTATTTTTGCATACATAATGAGCCCCATGACCTTTGACCTTGACCTCATGACCCCAAAATCTAACCAGTTCATTGCCTCAGCAAGATACATACATGTCCTGAGTTTCATGGTAATCTATCCATCTGTTCTAATGATAATGTGATCACAAGCTATTATTGCATACATAATGAGCCCTTTGACCTATGACCTCATGATCCCAAAATCTAATCAATTCATTGGCTCTGCAAGATACATACATGACCTAAGATTGGCAGGAATTCATCAATCGGTTCTTGAGATAACGCGATCACGAGAACGGGACGTACGTACAGACGTACGTATGGACGGACGGACAACCTGAAAACATAATGCCTCCGGCTACTTCGTAACGGAGGCATAAAGATGAGCACTTTAAAAATCCTACCAGACATGACTGTCTCCAGTCTGCTAATGTTGTTTTTAAGACTTCGTTCCATTTGACCGAGATGGTCGAGTCTGTCAGATTCGTTGGCGTTGAGCTCTTGGAGCAACATGGTTTCCCTGCAAAATACAAACAAAATCAACATCTAATACATAGTAGGGTATTTGTTAGAGAGCATCGTATTGGCTGAGAAGCTGTCACACGACTCTCGACAATTTGTTATATTTATGCACGATCGTGCTAGGCAACCACTTTTTTGCATGGTATTATCACGTACAAAAGTCAATTAGACTGCGCACCACTCCTCCTTGTGTATACACATTGTTTGCATTGTGTTAGCCGCCAACATGATTTACATAAAGGTCCTATGAAACTTATCGAGAGGGATGTCTCTATCAAAAATATTTAAAAAACAGAGGCATTAGTGAGATGTTTATTACATTTAGTACATATAAACGCTTCAATATGACATATACATGTATTCATAACCAAATTTAGAACCACTCTCATGCATATAATATTTCAAACTCAGCCTGTAGCCTCGGAGAAACATAACATTTCTCTGGGAAATTCTGAATTTGATTTTTCGTAGTCAATATGTAATATGGTTCATGTTTCAAAATCTTATAACACAGAGCTCAGTGAATATGCACAACTTTGCTGTGCGCAGTTGGCATTCATTTAACACATCAAACAAGGGAAACGCTCTCGGCGGTCTCGCCTGCATAACGCAATTCAATATGATAAACCAGAACGTCAATGACGTAGCGCTCATCCGCATCTCGCAACAACAAATATCCTAAATTTAATGTGGTACACTTTTGAACTGGTCAAAAAATAAAAATTTGATGCCCTGGAAGGGACATAATTTCATTTCATTTGCATAAAGTACCATAAATAATCAATGGAGCAAAATCTCACAATTCTGTGTAGAAGTTTAGTGTTCCAAATTTAGCTCTACCAGATAAGACAAACCAAATCAAAATCGGTCAACAAATGAGGGAGAATAAGCAATTTTTGTTATTTTTGGAATAAATTTGCATAAATTACCATTATTAATTAATGGAGAACAATTTCAAAATTTAGTGTAGAAGTTTAGTGTACCAAAGTTAGCTCTACCAGATAAAGCAAACCAAATCCAAATCGGTCGAGAAATGAAGGAGAAGAAGCATTTTTTGTGATTTCGAATAAATTTGCATAAATTAGCATAGATAATGAATTTCACGATTCTGTGTAGAAGTTTTAAACCCCCCTCCTAGCCCTATCATATGAAACAATCAGAATCAAAATCGGTTGAAAAATAACGAAGAAGAATCATTTTGAAAATCTTGATGTTGATGCCACAACAAAGTCCAAGTTTGTTGACCTTAAATGACATTTGACCTTAACTTAGTGACCTGAAATTCTACTCACATGATTGGGGAGACTTGATAACCCTATAGTCTAAGTTTCATTGACTAAGAACTTATACTTTCAAAATTATATCAAAAATTCAAAAACTTAACCTTAGGTTAAGTTTTCGATGATGATGCTACAACATAGTCCAAGTCTGTTGACCTGAAATGACCTTTGACCTTGACTTTGTGATCTGAAATTCTACTCACATGATTGGGGATACTTGATTACCCTATAGTCAAAGTTTCATTGACTAAGAACCTATACTTTAAAAATTATATCAAAAATTCAAAAACTTAACCTTAGGTTAAGTTTTTGATGTTGACGCCGTCGCCGTCGCCGTCGCCGTCACCGGAAAAGCGGCGCCTATGTCTCGCTTTTTGCTACACAGGCGAGACAAAAACTGCTGCGGCTTTCTCTGCAGGGGTTTACAGCACCATATCTTCACAAGCCTTTAGTGGTAATATGAGAACAGACCCAGACAAGAAGTCGTTGAATACCGGTATCACATGACATTACATTACCTCCTTTGCAGCATAGCATGTAGGTGTGAGAATCTCATTCTGATGGCATTCGCAGCTGGGCTGGACTCTCTCTTCACCTTGTTCATAGCCTTATCAACGTCCTGGCACAACAAATGGAAAGAAAATCTGTAAGCTCAGATCAAATAATAGACAATTCAAGTCTCATAAAATTTAGCATCTGTCAGACAGTGATGTTCTGCTTCAGAATTCACCTTTTATCGCATTTCATCCTACCATTTCCATTTAACTACCGGTATGTTAATTTTCTTTCATATACTAGATTTTTCATTATTTTAATAACTGTTCAAAAGGGAATCAACAACATAAATACTTTCTTTTAAAGGAAGCTTAGCAAAATACGTAACAAATGTAAAGAGTGGTAGTGGTAGTAGTGGTGGTAGTGGTAGTGGTAGTGGGGCAGTGGTAGTAGTAGTAGTAATAGTAGTAGTAGTACTTGTAGTACTAGTAGTAGTAGTAGTAGTAGTAGTAGTAGTAGTAGTAGTAGTAGTAGTAGTAGTAGGAGTATGAGTAGTAGGAGTAGTAGAAGTAGTAGAAGTAGTAGTAGTAGTAGTAGTAGTAGTACTGGTAGTACTAGTAGTAGTAGTAGTAGTAGTAGTAGTAGTAGTAGTAGTAGTAGTAGTAGTAGTAGTAGTAGCAGTTAGCAGCAGTAGACTTTATTGGATAAATTGTTTACAACATGGCTAATCGGCCACAAGGTCCAATTTGATGCGAGAAGATACAAAGCTCAAGAAAGGTGCATGGTATAACAGACTTTACAGCACCAGGAGCACAAATGTCAAGGATCAGTTTCTTACCACGTTGGAGTAATACAATTTCTTGAGGACATCCTTGGCTGTATCAAATGCAGGCTTCAGCAAGTCTTGCACTTCAACATTCTGTGAAAGACAAAGAAAAAGAATATCTTGTATCAAACTCTAAAATGCTATAACCATTGGTCTAACATTTTCAACTATTTCTCTTCATTTTTTTAACAGGGAGGGAATCCAAAGGAGATATTTATTCTACAGTTTTCTTCCAAACAGACAAACAATCTCGACTTCAGGAGGCGCGATAGCTCAGTTGGTAGAGCAGTGGTGACGTAATCAGGCGAACGCGTTCGAAACCAAGGCGATGCGCTAGTGCCCTGGTAAGGCATCAATCCTCATTACCAGGACTCTCGGAGAGGACCTAAAGCCCTCGGTCCTCTGTTTGCTTACTAACAAGCATTTATGCTTTTTTAGCAGTCAGGTAAAATAACCACCACTACTCTTCAATGTCATAATGTTTCCTTCCATGTCACTTCTCACCTACCTGTTGTGCAATGGGTATGATCGTATGACCTTTGTGATCTCCCGTCAGCCCGCAGTACGCACAGATAGGCTTGTCATCGTCTTTACAGTAGAACTCTCTTGGCATGTTGTCGTGCTCTTCACACCCATATACTCCTCTGCCAAAGAAAGAGAGAGAGAGATGAATTCCTGTAAATATTGCAAAATTTACAATATCAGTTTGACGCAAAAATACATTGAAGCAAAGTGAGGACGTTGATGACTTACAAGGCTGTGGTGAAACGTGTGTATTACTGCCATATATGGTACATTTATATCAACCATTCAAAAAGCTGCCTCAATCTCAGTACAGTATGATTCATTATAAATCAACTAAAATATGTAGTTTTTGTTGTTGTTCATGGAAAATCTTTGAATACTTGCTATTGGAAGGGCAAAATTTTCTTGTGCTGATCTTAGTATAATGTACAGGTATGTTCTTATTTTTTTTTAACCAGAGGTATTTTGAAGCTTTCAAGGGCTAAATCACTCATCGCTGCTGTGTATTTTTCCTCTGTTGCATGCAAGCATAATGGCACTTTGTCATAGAAATGTGTGCCTGTGAGAAAAAAAATAAAAAATTCTCAACCTGGAAATTGAAGCTTTCTAGGGCTTTAATGTAGGGCTGCTTTGTACTTTCCTCTGTTGCATGTAAGGATAATGGCACGTTATTCTAGAAATGATTGCCTGAAGAAAAAAACTTTATTTTTCTCAACCTGCAAATCATCAGAAACTACAGCTACAACTTACATCTGTATTTGGATCCTGTGGTGTGGGTTCTTGCTCTTGGAGTTGTTTTTGTGCAGCTTGCTCCAGCATTTTTCACAGAGGTCCTCGTCGCACTGCTCGCATCTACAGGAGGCTGTCTCCTGGCTGCATTCATCACACAGAGCTCGACCTCCTGAGCAAAAAAGACAGGAAAGGTTGCAAAGTGGGTGAAGTGAAGAGAGACAGACTATTAAAACAGGACGCAAAATTAAGAAAATAATCATGATAGCAAATAATAATAATGGGATTTACAAAGTAACAATTTTTTCAAAGAACATGGTATAAGACAAGTATTACCCCTAGCGTTTCGTGAAACGTTTATGAAACCAGTTCAACCTAGCATTACATGAATTTTCCTCCAAACAAGTACCCACCAGGGTCAAGGATGGCAATTCTATTGCAAGTCTTGCCTAAAGGTAATAATGCCATGACAGGGATTACCGTGACTTATCCAACAGACTAAAACAGCAAAAGGCCTTCTTCTTCTTCTTTGCTTTTTCTTTCCTTTTTCGACCTATTCTTCTCTTCGCTCTCCCCCCCCCCCCCCTTTCCTTCTTCTCCTCTTTCTTCCTCTTCTTCCTCCTCCTCCTCCTCCTCCCCCTCCTCCTCCTCCCCCCTCCTCCCTCTCCCCCTCCACCCTCTCCTCCTCCTCCTCCTCCTCCTCCTCCTCCTCCTCCTCCTCCTCCTCCTCCTTCTTCCCCTTCTCCTCCTTATTCTCCTTTTGAAAGAAATAGAGAGATAGTGCAGCTTTATTCTTCACTACTATAGCCTATAATGCGAACAATGCCAAATATCATTAACAAAATTAAAATAGAACTATATCAATGAAGATATATATTTACCTTTAAGTGCCTTTCCTTTAAATTCATCTCTGTCTTGCCTTGTCTGGAATTCAACTTTGTGTGCGCTAAAAACATTTTTATAAAAGGGGAGGGAGAGAGAGAAAAAGAGAGAGGGGAGAAGGAGTGGGATGGGGAGGAAAGGAAAGAGAGTGAGAGAGGGATGGAGAGAGAAAGAGAGAGAGAGAGAGAGAAAGAGAGGAGGCATGACAAGGAATAGAAAATAGACAAAATGAATACACATGTTCAGGCATACATTGTGATTCAACCTGAGAAACATCTTGGTACATGTAGCTTAGTTACCCATCTTAAAGTTGATACTCTAAGACAATCCCAAATACTGAGATAATTACATAAATAGAAAGCTTTTAACCCCGATAATAACACCAAATGGTGTCCACCCGACAAAACAAGTTTAGAATAATGAATTTATTCGAGTAAACTCTACCAAAATATCTAAGTCTGAAACCCGGAAGTGCACGTAGAGTCGGGCCTCTATCCGTGCCGTCACGAACGGGAGTCATGGGCTCAGTGAGAGTGAATGGCAGTGATATCCCTACGTAAATGCTATCCTGTCAGAGCTTAGATTTTTTGTTGTTAAGGAGTATATTTGATGGATTTTCTGTTTTCATTTGAATGAAGAATAACGAAGCAACATTTTCCAGTTGCTGATTTCTTTTTATATCCTCATATTCACCTATTTGGTAGAGATTTAAGACGAGTTTACTGCTTAGGAAATAAAGTTAAATCGTGCACTTATGAATAGGCGGATGCATTATATTGTCATGAGATGAATTAACATGAGCAGTTTTGTAAAACGAATAGGTCTAGAACTATGATAGTACTTATCATAGATGTGTGTGACTGCCTCAAAAAAGGATACAGTACCAGTTAAACATTTTATGTTGTAAAATATCAAACTTGAACGAGATCATGCAAGCGCGCTTCCTCTATAATATTTTGGCGAGTGATGCGGCTCTTGCATGAACGTTCGTGGAGCGAGCAGAATCGGGAGGTAAGACCAAGCCGCTGCTCTAGGCGCTGCTTGCTTGTGATGGAACGAACGTGCGCTAGTTATATGTTTATCGGCAATTGCAAGAGAATGAAAGCGACGTTGCCAGCTAAGAAAAACAACTAACAAAGACTTGCTCCTGACTACAGGTGTCAGAATTGGTAGATGAAGGATGTTCAGGGCCAAGGAAGGCGAAAGACATGGGAAAAAGGAAGAAGAAACCATCGGGAGATCGCTGTAGTGTATGGTAATGAACTGTGCATGGGTAGACAGCTACTGTTCACTCCGTGCCTGGGCCGATTTCAACACCAAAACAAAAATTACATGGTGAAAATATCGACTAATAGCACATCGTTGGCATGTATATGTCATAATTTTTAAAAGGGGAATTGATATTAATACTATGAAGTACTAGGGGAAGGTAAAGAATTGTACATAGAATTATGATTTATTAGACTTTTCAGCCTTTGAAACAAAAATATGCAGAAAATCGTATCACTCTGCACATGTTTGCTATGGAACATCCGGGTACGTGAATATACTCTCTCCCGGACGTGAGGTCATAAATAGTAGACCAGCGTCGTGACTGATTTTCTATGCAAAGAGAGGCGGATATTTTAGACATTTCAATTGAGGATTTCGAGTAGACAGAATTTTTTTGTGATATACTAAGTAATTGAAAAACTTAAAAATAACATATACTTGCCATAGGAAACAAATTAAGGGACATTTATTTGCTTAGAGTATCAACTTTAAGTTTCATTAGACAACTTGATGGAAATGTGACTGATTTAAAAAATATTAAAAAAATAAGAAAAATTAAACTTACCAAAGTTAATTTTCCAATAATGATATTTAAAAACATCTTTTCATATTGTTTTAGAAGATAAAAAGCTGCTTCAACGTATCACTGTTTAGATTTGAGTGTTATCATGTTCACAAATGAACGCTCTTTAATCGGCTTGCTGACACAGACAGCACCAGAACTTGGATAAACTTCTACAAATTTAAGGAATATCACTCAGTTGGATCCATTTAAATCCTAGCTGAAAAACTAATTTTCTTGAATGTGTGATCTAGGTTTTTATGACATTAATACAGTGATGTTCAAAGTTGCATCTAGAGACTATGTTGGTATTGTGTAAGCCTAGTATTGTGCGTTTACTATAAAGTAATGTACCGGTACTACTATTATTATTATTATTATTTTCAAAACTTTGAAGAAAAAAAAGCAAGCTGCCGATCAATCCTTTTCTCCAATTATCGGCAAAGATTAACATCATAATTTTTAAAGCAATGGACGGCATACTCACAAGAAATCTGGAGTTTTGTTGGTGTAAGTCCAAGCTGCTATGCCCAGTGCATAGAAATCAGGAGGGAGTTCTTTGAAGCTCACCTCACCTGCTGGTAAAGGAGTTGAAACCTGTACAGATAAAAGATGATGCAGACATAGAGTAAATGATGGAGATACATTTACCGGTAACATAGGTCACACTTGACCAAAGATACCATGATAACATTAATTGAAATCATGGACAGATCCCCATTTTTTATTTCAATTACAGTGTACCACTCACATGGAGGTAGACCTGGGCCCCCGTCTCATAAAGAGTTGAAATTAATTGCAACTAGATTTTAGGGCTAGGGGACTGCAAACTTGCGTTTGATTAGAGGACTTGCGATTGATTTTGATCAATCACAACTCTTTATATTAAAGATCCGGGGCAACTCAGGAAGCCACATTTATTCATTCATTTATTTTCCCTCTCATGGGGCTGAAGTTGGTATGCCCTCACAGCAGAAGCTGATTTAGGCAGTCAAACACCATTGGCAGAAGGTACACTGTATTTCAAAATGCAAATATCCTTTAATCCTCCCAAGATACTGTTAGGAAAGTTCAATGAATTTTAAAAAGGGGTGGGAAAATTTTCATTAAGAAACCTGAGGCTACTTAAAAATTGCTATGACTATGACCACCCCCTATCCCTTTTTTTTCCAGAATGAAGTAAGAAATATGGTGATGCTCACCTTACACTGTGGACAGGCCAGTTCATGCTTGAGATACTTGTAGATCTTGGCTAAACATGCCTGACAGAATGTGTGCCCACACTTGAGGATCAACGGCTGATGGGCCCCACCTGAAAAAGAGAACCATCAACATGACAAAAATCAAGAACGAAAGCAAGACTGGTTTGCAAAGGTCCTCTGACGAGATGAGAAGACAAGGTAAATTGATGAGATGACGTGTTGTTGGAACTCAGAACGTTGACTTGTTTGTGACAAGAAGACAAGATGACGAGTTGTTGAAACTCGGAAAGTCGACTTGTTTGGGACGCGATGACAAGACGACAGGTTGTTGGAACTCTGCAAGTCGACTTCTTGTCATTTAACCCGTCTTCCCGTCTTCTTATCTTGTCATCTTATCTTGTCATCTTGTTGGCACTTATAAGTTTCCACACTTCTGGGCTCCATTTATTTTTTTACTTTTTAAACTTTTTTTTCTTCACAAAACTAACTCCATGAAAGTCCTATCTTCGTCTGACAGATACAGAGATGTCATAAAGGTGACACACCATTTCACAAAGACCCTACTACCTAGATCCTGTCCTCAGTAAACCCTGTCATCTCGTCACCACTTTCATACAGAAGCTTTAAAGTGCCAACGAGATGACGAGATAGTTTAGGACTAGACAGGTTCTGTGACTCAGCTAGTCAACTCATAGGACATGATAAAGACGGATCGTTTGAACTCTACAATTCAACTTGTTTTGGAAGAGAAGATGAGACGACAATTTGTTGGAACTTGGCAATTTGACTTAGAAGATGAAGACGATTGTTTGAATATGGCAAAATTCACCTGTACTACTACTAGGCTATAAATTTGCATGAAACCTGGGGGGGGGGGGGGAGTTGTTACCCAAAAGTCATGTACAAAGTGCCCTCATCAGTAGGGGCGCTGGTCCGAGAATGAAGATTGCCTCTTATACACTGACTAATGCGTCCTAAAATATAAGAATCGTCAGCATTTTTGCAGATGTTTTTTTTTCTTTGGCCCTCTGCAGGTTTCGGGTTCCCGATCTGCGCGCTGGCAATGCGAAAAACGGATTCCGCGTCATAAAATACCCCCAGTTCACCGTCTACTTTTGTGGGTTGTCCGTCTTCCAAGGATTTTATCGCTCATAACGTGAAAGTCTCTGTACAAATTTAATGTAAAATGCATCAAGAAAATCATTGCAGAATCCGTTTTTCGCATCGCCAACGTGCGATCAGAAATCAGAATTGTCAGCGAAAATGGAGACAATCCTTATTTTTGCGGACGCGTCTGTCCGCCTTTACGAAGACGATCCTTGTTTGGGAGGACGATCCTTTATATTCCCGGACATGCGCCCCTACTGCTCACCCGTACTCCCCAATGTTAAGACAGCTTTTGACAGGGTGGTAAAAACCCTATCCCCTACCCTACTCCCGAGTCCAGGGCTTTGAGCAACTTTACCATGACAGGCATTAGTCATTACTGAAAATTGAAAAAGTAACAAGTATTGACTATTTTACTAATATCAACGTTTATCTGAAAAATTCTTCAAAAATAACAAGAAAATTGACACGAAACAGGTAATAAACATAACGACTTATTTGGACATTTAATGAATATTTACTTCATTTTGGGTATGTTTTAGTAGGATATCTCCACGCCGGAGTTACAGGTCAAATTTTTGATAGGTTTCTGAACAAGCGCCCTCTCCTGTACATGGGGCCTCCATTTAACGTCCTATTCGAGGGACGGAGTGTTTTCCACTTGACACAACCTGCGTCTATGAACAAGGGAAGGGGCACGTTAACACACAACACAGGCTTCGGTCATCCGCCTGGGTGGGAGTCGAACCCAGGATCTATGGTTCGACAGGCAGACGCTTTACCATGTTTACCTAGACTAGACTCTATGTGTAGACTATGTCCAACTCGCGCCTCCGGCCTCCTCTGTCGAGTAATGTAAGAATTTAATAGATTGAAGTTGAATTTCTAGGTTCCAACAACTTCTGTATAACTTATCTCTTAATCTCGTTGGCACTTTACTTAACAACAGTTAAAATTATTTGTCGAAATATAATTTAAGCTTCCATACTAAGTTAGACCTAAGTTAGACCTAGATCTAGTCTAGATTCTAGATCTATGTATGTTTATCAATATCATGCTTATCATGTAAGTAAGCATACGTGAAAGTCTATGCATGGGCACGGCATCATTCATACTCGATCCAAGTTTACCTTGCACATGGGGCCCCGCATAATCTCGGCGGCAGTTGGGACATCGTGGAGCTCGATACATTGTTGATAAAGTCTGTTCGAAACGATTTTCTAAAACTTAAGTTAGGTCATTCCATTTCCATTCAGGTTGCAAGTTCAGCTTCCAACACATGCGCCAGGTACCTATCGTCTGTCGAGTAGTCTCGTCGTCGCAGCATGCATGCAGACTAGATCGACGGTTAATACTAATATTACAGAGCGCAGCATATGACGTTCCCACTTTTTCAAGGAAAAGTGGCCCCTTCTACCTGAGATAAGTGCCCTTTTTATGAGTTCCATAGTCCTAATTATGAGTGCCCCTCACCACTTCTGATGTCCCTTTTCACCACTGATAAGTGCCCCTTTTATTTTGACACGTGCCTGCATGCGCGGCCCTTTTTCTAATTTTAATAAAAGGCCTACCTTTTTTTCCTTAGATCTATGTTAAGTGCATTTTTTCCTTCGACAAATGTCCCTTTCACATTCTCCGACATAATTGCCCTTTTTTCATCTCTGGTAAGTGCCCCTTCTCAAATGTAAGAATTCGAAGTGCCCCATATTTTCACCCTTGATAATTGCCTTCCGTTCTTTTTTTTAACACTTTTTTTTTAGTAAGTGTCCTTTTGCCTTCAGATAGGTGCTATCTTTTCCTTTCCCCATAACATTTCATTTGCCCCTAAATGAAGAGCTCACTACGCTCGCTCGCATTTATAGTTGATATAATTATGTTACGTAACACAGGTCTTTTGAGTCTTTCATGTTCGCATTACCACCTTATATTACAAATCTAAAAAGTAGGCCTATTCAGACTATTTTAATTATTTATTCATTTTTATTTACCACTTGTGTGATGGAACACGGGTCATCATCACGCGTGCTGTTTTCCATGGGGTTCATTTCAGCTTGAAACAAACTATGAAAAGATACAATCACAACAAATGAAATAGACAAACTAAAAAATCAATGATCATAATATGAAAGTTAAATCAGAAAATCAAAGAGGAACACACATATAGGAGTATAAAAAAATACAAAAATGACTTTAAACACCAGTGGCGTGAGTCGTCGAGTGCTGGGTGCTGAGTGCTGGGGGTAAGGAGTATTTTTTTTTTCCGAAAAAAATTCAAAAACCTCCCCCCCCCCCCCCCCCCCCCCCCCCCCCCCCCCCCCCCCCCCCCCCCCCACCTGCGTACGCGACTTTGGTCTACTAAAATTGTCTCTCATCTTATCAAATTTTTGCTTGTGAAAACATTAGTTCGCTACTATTTTTTCCTCTTCCTTCAATATCTTGTTCTATTCGGAATCATCATGGTCATGTAGTGTAGTTTCTATTAGTGAACCGGTTTGCTGTAGATTTCATAACAATAGCCAACATTTTCCAATAGCAAACCGGTTTTTTCTAGATTTCCCTCTGATAACAATAGCCAAAATTCGCGTAGCACAGTTTGGGTTGGGAGGTGGAAAAGGTATCGTCATTATTTTGCTGTTGTTCTCCTGAGCCAGAAGTGGAAATCAAGTGTGAGTCTGGAATATTTTTACCTGCGCCCTACTACAAAAGCAGCAAACCGATGACAAACAGTTTGTATTTCTGAGATCCAAGTCTTTATTGTAAGTTTGTTTAAACTTATTATCAATCATGCCTTGCATGTGTCTACAATTTTTGTTGATTTGGCGTATGTTTGGAAAAAATAAAGATAAATAAAATAAAATAAATTAAATATGTTAAAGTTATGTTCCACGAGAGTGTTTCAATATGATAATATTGATGATGCCAGTTTTAGCCCAGCCCAGCTACATATTTTGTGGAGTTATTTAAAGAGTGTTCATAAACTGTTGGATAACGGGCGTGGCTGGTCCAGAATATGTAATTAGGGTACAAGCTTGAAGAAACAAAACTAAAGTATTAACATGTAATAAAAAACGCATGTGTTTTTTTATAAGTAAGCAACCAGGGGACCGACGGCTTAAACTCCCCTCCGAGGGACTCGGTAATGATGATTTATTGTATTAACAAAGGGTACGAGCGGATCGACTTTTATTGGTTTCAAACCCGGGACCTCCCGGTTTGTACGAGTCCACTAAGACTGCTCTACCACTGAGCCATCGCGTATTACTCAAGCCATCGCGCCTCACTCAAGCCGTTTTCCCGTGATCACACTCTACACAAAACAAATCTTTAATGGTGCTTGCAATAAGCATAAACAAATTTCGCAATACTTCAAACAATAGTCGAGAGAGAGAGAGAGAGAGAGAGAGAGATAGAGAGGGAGGAGAAAAGAATTATCATTGATGAACAAGATGAACAAAATAACTTATGTTGTTTTGACTACAATTAAATTCAATATGTAATAGGTATATTATGCTATAAATAAATACGTTGTTTGATCACTGACTAAAAATCACGCAAAGGATCCACAATCATCTATGTAATTGAATTTTCACCAAGTCTGATTATCTTATTATAGATGCAGCGGGTATTTGAAATCAAAACGTTTCAAAAGAAAATGACGATTTTCAAGACTTAACACTGTCATAGCTATAAAACTTAATTGATTTAAGCAAATTAATCCATAGTGAATAAAGGCGGAAGGTAACTTTTTTGTTGATTCAACATGTTATAATGTTAAACTGGTCGTATGCTATCAAATTCTGATAAAGGTTGGTCCATGCATTGGCGTATTAAAAGAAAATCATTGTCATACTATACTTGAACAATCATGTTACTTCAAATCTGCCCAAAAAGGTTGAACGTTGGGCAAGACCCGAGCGGTATTGTCGGTGGCCTAATGCGTGTGTGTGTGTGTGTGTGTGCGTGTGCGTGTGCGTGCTCGCGCGTGTGTGCGTTTGTGTGTGTATGTGTGTGTGTATATCTCTCTCTTTCTCGAATCTTTACCTTTGCACTCAATTACCTATATTACAGTATAATATTGAAATTTGATAGCCAATGTTATAACAAAATTGAGAATTATCCTATTTGTTTGGATTTTAATTATTTGTTAAATCAAATTGAAATTCGATAATTTTGAATATAGGGGGATTAACAAACAAAAAACGACGATTCTCAAAATTTACACCTTAACTAAATTAAAATACGCAATTGAAACATTAAAGGCGGAAGGTAACACAAACTTTTTCTATACATTTAAAAACAAAATTAGCGGTCAATGTATATTTGTGATGTAAAACCAATTATCGCAACCTACCAAATTCTGACAAAAGTTGGTCCATGGGCCTATGCAAATTATAAGCATTTTCATACTTGAGAGGCGCAAGGCGCAGGATATAGACAACCAAATTCCTTCGTTGGTTTTTCGTGGCTTGTGATGTGCAATCATGGCACTTCACATTTGGCAAAAGTTTGTTCTATGGGTGAAACCAGAGTTATTCTGTTGGCACCCTATAACCCGGCCCCCCCCCCCCCCCCCACTCAGAGGTCGGAATGACCGCATGCGTGTTGCCAAAATGTCCGGTAAAGGGGTACTTTTCGTGCGACAAAGTCCGGCCCGAGAATTGTAAGAAAAGGGGTGTATTTGACTTTTCACCCGGAGATTTCTTTAAAAAGGGGGTGTTTTTCTTTTTTTCTCTCATCTCTTTGGACTCCTGAGAAATTATTCCGAATTTAGGGGGGTACATTGAGCATTTTTTCTGATTTAGGGGGGTCTCCAATGCAAAAAAAGCCCGCGAAAAGCCCGCGAAAGGGGGGTTCGGAAATGTTGGCAGTCCTCAGATAGGGGGTGCTTTCAAAAAGAGGGTACAAGCATATGCGTACCCTAAATAACACTGAGTGGGGGGGGGGGCCGGGCCCTATAATAAGTGTGGGGGAGGGGTGTGCGTGAGTGGTATGTGTGTGTTTGTCGGTACTCAACACCGTAATTTTCATTGGGCTCTTTCAAATTAGTCAATGAAGTATGTCGGCGTGCACATTGGTTTCCACATTCCAGGTCAGGTTTTCTTTTCATGTCTGTGTTTGTGTGTCTGTGTGAGGGTACATGAGAGGTATTTTGCGCGTGGGTTTGTGGAAAAAAAGAATTATATAGCCTTTATTGCCATAATTACGAACATAACATTTTCTCTTTTCTGAATCAAATAGTAGCTAACAGGATATAAAGACCCCTGAATCTCACATAGAAACAACTGGGACAGATACTTTGTAGGACCTCAAGCATCTAAACAGATTTAACATTGAGGATGGCCTTGTTGACATTTCGTTAATGTTTCTTCTTTAGATGCCATGATGGGGGGGGGGCAGCGATTCGTGTAAATATCATAGAAATGCTGTGCGATTATTTCAAACACGGATTTGGTGGCTTGACATTTCCTTTCTACCACCACAGAGTCATATGATGTTGGGGATACGCTAATTTTATAATTTCTCTACAAACCATCCTTTAGTTCCAAAACATACACAAAATATGATAATAGAAAATTGATAATAGAAAACATAAAAGAGGCTCTATACACACGGCGCTGAATTCCATGCAGCATGACTCATGATCATGATTCCGCAGTATTCATAAATAAATGGGATATGAACACCATAATTGGAAACAGATAATGCTTTGAATAATGGTTGCCATCGTATCCAATCCAGGGGCGTTTCTAGTGTGGCTCTTTGTTGACAGGGATAAAGGGAGTCGGTATATTGACGCTTCGAGTTTCAAAATAGTATTAAAAAATCCATAATCATCATCGGTCTCGATATACAAATTATGTTAAAAGTGTAAATCCTACTTATCTTTTCAGACTCACATCCAAACGACTGCTAGTGATCAGTGCTGGTAAGATACGTTCTGCCTCTGTCAAAGTGTTTGAAGAGATTATCCTTTAGCCTATAATATTCCACCATCACGTCATTCAAAGACGAGTGCGTTTTGATTATCCAACAAGACAAGTACACTTTGATTGAAAGAAAAAAGGTTTGGATTTGGTAATTTTCATGGAATCAATAGTATTCATTTTTTCCCGAAAAAATAATTGAGGGGGGGAGGTTAATCCTCAGAACACCCCCCCCCCCCCCGTCCCCTGCGTAAGCGCCTGTTGTCTATTCATAATTGAAGTAAATGAGACAACCGTATATGAGATAGATGGACAGATACTTTGTAGGACCTCAAGCATCTAAACAGATTTAACATTGAGGATGGCCTTGTTGACATTTCGTTAAT